GACAAATCCAGAGAAATACTTGAAAAAATCCTGAAAAAGAGCACAATCGTCAATAAATCCAAAAAATTTAGAAAAAATTCTGAAAATCCAGAAAAAATCCCGCAAAAAATCTCGAAAAAGCTTTCAAATCCGGAAGACCTGGAAACACTAGCTACTCACCCAATATTTTTTGAAATAGGATTTTATAAGTTACTACCCTCGGCCCCAATTTTTGGTTGCATGCGACACCCCTGGTAATGGTATTGGCATAAAAGAAAAATAGACAGGCTTTTCCAGGCAGGCCAGGCAGGCCGAAGAAAATACCAGGCAGGCAGGCCAGGCCAAACAAATAAGTTGGCAGGCACAGGCAGGCTTGGCCTTCAGAGGCCTGTCATAGGCCGGCCAGGCCTGCAAAAACGCGGCCTGGTTGGACCTTTGATACCTATTATAACTCTTTATTGTTGATTTTTTACGTGCAAATTTAAATTCTAAAAAACAATCAGTGATTACATTATTAGAAACTTTAACAAATTTATATTAGTTTTTTCCAATATGTATGAAAACATTGAAATATCGTATGACAGTCAAACTGATATTCTTCATACTGTTCAACTCTCTTTTTATTGTTAAATAAAGTTGAAGTTTTTTATGCCCAGTTGCGGGGGTCTGTAATTGGGGGGGGGGGGGAGCCGCCAAACCTCGAACTTAAAACTTACACTCACTATTTTCTTCGAAAACATACGTGAGTTCCACAAAAGCGGAGGTTTCATGGGTTAAGTTGATTCGATAAACTACTGTTTTGGTAGGTACGTTGAAAGTAGCTTGATAACTATTCAATAGAGCAATTATTTTATATACTAGCTGTATCTGTCATTGATAGATTCAAGCTCAATCTGGTTTTATGGATAACGATATTCTAAAAGATGTTAAACAAAGTGATTACGAATGTAAATGGAAGACGATTATAGAGTATTTCAATATTCAAAAGCCTGATCTCGATCCTCGATACAACTTTGACTACAGAAAACCAGGCGTATCGAAACAAGAGAGTCGTGGTAGTGAACCGTACTATTTACCAATCGGCTGGTATCGTCATGGACTTAAGGTAGATAATAAATATGCAGGTGATATTGTTTGGCTTGGTCGTGCCAATGCTGAAGGTGAATGGCCGGTTGCTTTTCACGGTACAAATAAAAACGCAGTTCTGGGAATTACGCAAGAAGGCCTACTAGCTAGCAAATCTGCACGAGATATAATGAAAGATGAAGCCATCAAACAAATGGGTGAAGAGGCAGATCGTCCAGGAATCTACCTAGCAACGCATTGCAATGATGGAGTCGATAGATATGCTAATTCATTTACATTTCCAATACGAACTGAAGAGAGCGCAACATTTCAGGTCGTTTTTCAGTGTCGTGTGCAACCCCGCAAGTTCACAAGACATACAGGTGTGGTCACTACCGGTGAAGCTTGGCGTTTTGTTGATGAAAGCGCGATTCGGCCTTATGGCATTTTACTGAAGGAAATTACCTAATCAAAAGCAAGTGGTCCAACAGCAAATGTGAACACTGCATGAACCTAATATTTTGAATTTAACCTAATATCGATTATGCATAAACCAGAGGTTCAGCGAAT